AACATAAGGGGTAGTGCCGTTTTCTTACATAAGATATGATATTGTAAAGACATAATTTCATTATCAGACAGGGGCCTGAGTTGGTCCCTCTAAGGGGACAGTAGGACCTCAACTCAGACTTGGGTTCTTGACTTACACTGTGAAAAGAATTTTAGGATGTTTCAAAAGCAAGTCACAATCAAAGATCAATTCCAAGACAGCAAAGCAAAGATACACACACTCCAAAGGCAACATGTGGATGGATGCCCTTTTTTCTCAGAGAAGAGGAGATGAACAACATATCGAGGGTTGACCTCTCCAACTATATATGGGACTTTCTTGGGAAGAAATGTGCGGGTTCTCAGGCAAGCTCTTGTGAAAATCAAATCCCATGTCAATCAAATGATATTTGATATTTCAGAATGTTTCTTCTTGTTTGGGTAGTCTAGCCATAAATCAATTGAGGGCACATTGTGTAAGTCTTTGAATCTGATCACATTTAAATTGATTTTGTTTTTTTCTCATTGATCTGGTTCAAGCATACACTGGAGGTTTTGTTCATCTAACTAAAGACACAGGTGTGGCTGGTCACACTCATAGATCTGGGGCTCCCAGAAAGCCCATCTATCTCAATTTTTCACCTAACAATCCACAATCCAACCTGATGCATTCATTCATCCAATACTGATGGTGTGCTTGCTGATGCCTGATGTATTCTAGGCACAAAAGACCCTGAGGTGGACACAAGCGCCCTCAGGCTTATGTTCTTAAAGACAGGGGAGTCACAGACAAAATACAGAAGAGGTAAATTATATAGCATGTTAGAAGGTGAAAAGGGCAGTAGAGAAAAATCAAGGTCATGATGGAGAATGCAGAGCAGGGAGAGGAGTAACTATTAAAAATAGGCTGAGAAGACATTTAAGCAAAGAATCAAGGCAATGAAAGGACAGGAGTAGATTTCTCCTACTCTTGTGCAGCTAGATCAGAGGGAGTCGGTGGTTCTCAATCATAGGTGGTTTTGTCCTCCAAGAGACACTTGGCAATGTCTGAAGACATTTTTCATAGTTACACCTGGAGTCGGGGTGAGGGAAGCCAGGATGCTGCTCAGTACGCTACAGCGCTCAGAACAGCCCCATATAACAAAGAATTATTTGGTTCAAATGTCAGTAATGCTAAGGTCAAGAAACCCTGGAGTGAGTGAGGGGAACAGGAATAGGAAATAGAGCCAGAGAGGTAAATGCCAACTGGAGAATCAGAATTTTTTTTTGAAACCGGAGAAGCTGATTCAGAAATTCTTATGGAAAAATATGCAAGAGTAGCTAGGGGTGGGGAGTGAGAAAGAAGAATACAGAGTAACTAGCATCAGCAGATCTTTGCATATAAAAATTCCTATGATAGACAAATGGCTAATTTCTTTAATACATAAAGAGTTCTTACATATGAATATGAGAAAACCTGTTTTTTTTTTTTTTAAAAAAAGCTCTTGGAAAAATGAACAAAAGACAGGGAGATCTCAGAAAAAGACCCACAAACAGATCATATACATGTGAAAAAATAGCCAACATTACTTATTATTTAAACAAATACAGGGTTGGAGATGTAGCTTAGTGGGAGAGCATGTGCCTAGCATGCATCAAGACTCCAACACCACCAAAGAGTAAAAAATAGAACAATTAAGAAATGTGAACAAAAGTCACAAGATAACATTTTCAATGAGCCAAGATTAAAATATAACATGGAGTTGCTAAGGGTTGCCAAGATCTACTCTTATGCACAGTTCTTAAGAACATACCTTGGCACAGCCTTTTGGAAAACCATTAGGCAACATCTCTCCCAGAATTAAATACACATCCCTTGGAGCGTCATGTTGTTCTAGGAAAGCATTCTTCTCACAAAACAGATGCACAGCATAACATATGCAAAAAAATATGCACAGCATCATTTATGATAGCATTAACAATACACTGGAAGCAACCTGAATGTCCATCAATAGGGGACTGTTTATTTTACAGTACATACTTACAATGGAATACTGCACAGCTTTTAGAAAGACTGAGGCTCCATCTTAGGCACAAATCCAAGAGAAATGAAAACCCATGCCCACCAAAAAGAATCGCATAGAGGAATGTATAACAACTTTACCCAGAATAGCCCAAATGTCCACCAATCAGAGACTAGAAAAATTTTGGTATATTCATACAATGAAGCACTACTTAGAAACAACAATAAGAAAAATAAATAGTTATGAACAGCAATAGGAGTGATGTTCAAAAATATTCTGTTAAGCAGGATAAATCAGGCACAAAAGACTGTGTACTGGGTGATTCCATTTATATTAGGTTCAAGAGACAAATCCAATCCATGGCAACAAATCAAACCCTACTTGTTCAAGTCACTGATTTGATTTTATCTCAATTTAAACACCAAATTACCTATTGAATGAAAAAAAAAACACTAGCTAAACTTAATGTGTCCTAAGATAGAATGATCTCCAAATAAATATTAAGTGTAGGGTGGAGGGGTAGAAACAAAGACAAACTATATATAATATACTCCCATATATTATAAAGGGATTATGTGTTTGTTGCATAATCATGTATATGGAAATTTCTAGAAGGATGTTTAAGAAATTGTTGACAGCAGTTTCCTTTCTGGACGGAGTCTGGGGGACTCAAGTTTTGAGATGGAAGGGACATGTTTTAATACCTTTTTTGTAGTATTGGAATTTTTTCTTATCTTCATATTAATTTTTTGCTATGAAACTTAGTTAAACCTTCTTGATTGGATAAAAACATAAGGATGCTTTGAGTTGAATTTTGATATGTCTCTACCTTTGAAAGCTGGACGCAATGGGCAGCTGTGTCTCCATAAGGGGAGTGGACATCTGGAAAGGCAGACCAGGGAAGTATGTGGAAGATCCTCTTGGGGTGGGAAAATGAGTGCCAGAGTCCTGCTCAGGGCTCCAAATGAAATACAGAAAATTTCAGAGTTCAACCTCAATGGCAACCTTCTGGGTGCACAATGTCAAAGCTCATCCAATGATGTGCAAGATTTATCTGGGTGAAACTTTTCTTTTTTCATGTGAGGAGATCAAAAGCTTTTCTGGTAGATTTGAAGATGAGGCCTTTAAGAGGCCATGGGACTAAGGGAGAGTCTATCTGGAAGAAGAGATTTTAGCCAGGTATAGTTTTTAACCTAGCAATCCAATATCTGGTTTATTTATTTTTTATATTTTTATTTTTTAATTTTTTGGGTGTATCAGGGATGGAACTCAGAGGCACCCAACCACTGAGCCACATCCCCAGCCCTACTTTGTATTTTATTTAGAGGCAGGCTCTCACTGAGTTGCTTTGTACCTCACCATTACTGAGGCTGGCTTTGAACTCATGATCCTCCTGCCTCAACCTTCTAAGTTGCTGGGATTACAGGCATGTGCCTCTGTGCTTGGCAGTATTTGGTTTATTTTTTAATGCATTATAATTATGCATAATAGTAGGGTTCATTTTGACATATTCATAAGTGCCTACAACATAATTGACTCCATTTTAATCCCTAGAACCTCCTTTTTCCTCCTCTCTGCCCTCTCCCTGATGCCTTTACTCTATTGGTCTTCATTATATTTATTTATTTTTTTTTTATTTGGTGCATTATAGTTATATATAAATTCGACCTTTAGTCCCACAAAAAAGAACCTTCCATCGAGGGTCTTACCAAGAACATCCTTATTCATTTCTTTTTTCTTTTTTTTTTTTTTTAAATATTTATTTATTTATTTATTTTAGTTTTCAGTGGACACAACATCTTTGTTTGTATGTGGTGTTGAGGATCGAACCCGGGCTGCACGCATGCCAGGTGAGTGCGCTACCACTTGAGCCACATCCCCAGCCCCCTTATTCATTTCAAGGACAAGATTCTGCCAGTGAGTTGATGTGCTGCTTGGAGTTTGCAGCCAGACCTCTCTAGAGTGTGCAAGAGACGCCCAGAGGAAAAGAGAGAAGATCCCACCTGTTCTAGGCAGATGGATGGCCCTGCCAGAAGGGGAGGCCCCAGTCCTTCCCAAGAAAGCTCTTGGCTCAGGAACAGACATGTGGCCTGCTGCTCCCAATTCCGGAATCAGAGGGTAAGGAGCCTAGGGGCTTGACATTCTTGTGGAGATGTGAGTCCCGGCAAAAACAAACAAAACAATCATTCCAGTCAGAATTATGTGCTCAGTTAACCTTGGGCCCAGATGTCTGATTAAGACACCAGGAAGAGAGAATGCAAGCATCTAGGGGTGGAAGTTCTTTACAAAACATTTCAGGCAAAATATAAATGGGAAAAAGGCCCGAGACAGCAAGGGCTGAGTCCCAGATGGGAGCAGGGAGTGGGCCCGTGAAATAGGCTGTAAACTGAGATTTCGTGGCGGGTGGACATGGGGGTTGAGGGTGGGGAACTGCATCTGGCACAAGCAAAGGGAAGCCAACTGGGATAAGGAGATCTATGACTCGTGGCAAAGGCCCTTAAAGGCCCTCTAGTTTGTCCCCTTCTGGATGGAAATGGAGTCTCAGAGAGAATGGCTTGCTCATTGTCGGATGTTAGGACTGAGCTAGCCATGGTTCAGACTCTGGCCTCCAAGTCTAGTGGGTCCCTCAGAGGAAGACTGGCCTTTGGGAAATGGAGGCATTGCCGAAGCTCTTAACCAGACAGCCACAGGCTCTCTTGCTACCTGGCAGCCACGGTTCTACTGAATTCCACAAAAATGGGAGCCACTTAAACAACCTAGAGCAGTAACCCCAGGCGCTGTCCATCATCTACCGGCAGCTTCCCCAACCTCCCCTCCTTTGCTCTGCCAGAACCCAGATATTTATTTATTTTTAGTGAATGGAAATACTTTAATTTCAGGAAGCATAGGCCAATTCCCCAACAGCGAGAGACAAGTCTCTATCAGTCTTACAGTGTTCCAACCCTCCTTTGTCAATGCTTGCTGAACGGGTGGGTCTGTGACCTGGTTCGAGCCAATAAGGCACAAAGAGGAGTCTGCATGGAGCTTCTGAGGAAGGTTTTATTTTCCTAATAAAAGGGGAAAGTGCACCCTGGCACCACCAGGCTTCACTTACACCTCTCTCCTCCTGCCTTGAGGGAACTGAGATGCATACACAGTCTGAGGGTCCAGCCTGAGGGTAAAGTGAGATCCCCTGAAGATGACAGAGTGAACCATGGAGCCCAAGTTCTTGGTGGCCTAAATAAGCTGCCGGATCATCTCCCTCCTCCAGACTTCTGTTAGGTCAACATTAAATGTCGCTACAGTTTCAGCCACTGTGCACAGATTTTCTCTTATTTGCAGTCAAATGCATTTCTCAATAGCACAGGCCATAATGTTTGGGCAACTCCTGTTGATTGCAAGAGACATTGCTTAGAAATAGCCTTTGCTCGACCTCATCAGCTGTGGGTTCTGCTCTCCTGAAGCCCTCCACCCAGTTCCCTTGTCAGCCTTCAGCCAGTTGGTGTCTGGTAGAGTCCCTTCACACCTGGCCATCACTCATTTTTTAGTGACCACCTTGGATGATCTTCACTGACCAACAACTGTGTGCCCATTGAGCATACAGATCAATGACCACTTGGATCAATCGTTCATTTATCAGTCGTATTCATCACAGCCTGCTCTGGGCTCAGCCAGAGTTCCTGGCTCTAGACCCAGCAAGAGTTAAAGTCCTCAGTCTTGTGGGCCAGGCCAGTCAACAGTGATGGTGGCAGAGAAGTGAGATGGGTAGATAAAAAGGAAGCAATAATTTGACTTTGGTGTGTGTGTGTGTGTGTGTGTTGGTGGCGGGGGAGGTAGCCATTTCTATAACACTCTTCCCTGTCAAATATTTGATGTCTTAGGGCAGGGATCGCCTCTTATTTAGCACAGTCCTGAGCCCATCTCAGAAGAGGCAATATAAAGGAATCATGTTTGGTGATCTTCCCTGGACAAGCAGAGGTTTAAGGTGGACTTGCTCTTGGTTACTCACCCTTCTCTACAAGACCTAGAAAGCCAAAGCCCTTAAAGAATAGAGGGATGAACAGTGGGCACAGAGCCGAAAGATCTTTGCTGTAACCGTAACTGCCACTAACTTGATGCAGGACTTAAGACATATCACTTTGGCTTCTCTGAGCCTTGGTTTTCCTCAGTGACAAACAAGGATAATAACAACTGCATGTCTCACAGGGTTGCTGCAAAGATCAACGAAGATAACTAGTGGATTCACCAGATACAGGAGAGAAGCGGCGAGGCACTGTCCATGCATCCACCTCCCCCACCCCCCATCACACAGCAGAAAACCAGAAACCAGTCAGGACAGTGGAACTTTCCATGGGAGATAGAGCATTTAACGAGGGCAAGACCTTGACAGTGTGGTCAGGAATCATCCCTCCCAAGGAACCTAGACACACATTTGGTCCTTTGATGGGGTTTCCTTAGGTTTTTATACGTTTCCCTGCCCTGGAAAATGCCATCCAGGGACCTCATCTATCTGCCCCTGCCCCTCTCCCAGGGCAATACAAGAAGGAAAGAAAATGGAATTGAGGAACGAGAGGTGGTGACCTCTCCTGTCTCCCTCATGGGCTTCTGAGGGTTCTCATGGCCAGTCTAGAGTCATTGCCCAGTAACTTCAGGAAGATTCACTCAAGGGCAGGAGTGTGTACTCAGGGACCTCCAAGCCCTGATCATTTTCAATGGTGCTCTGTTGCTGTCAGGCAGGGCTGCAATGGCCAGTCAACAAAGAGGAGGCTTTCCAGAGTACCTCAGACTTTAGCATGACTAACTCTGAGGTGACCCGGCTATTGGAAATTAACTGTGGTGTCCACTCTGGGTCTGCAGTTGAGGGATGACCTAGATACCCCACTGGAGTCCGCAAAGAGCCACCGCTACCATACTTGGAGTGTGACCCCAGCTGTGTGGGGTGGCAGAAAAAGTATTTCCCAGAAAAGCCAAACTGACCTGCCTGGGAGAAAAGGTGGGGACCCTGAGGCCCTCGCAAGAGGATTTAAGCAGCTTCAGGCCCAGACAACAAAGGGACCCAGGAGTTGAAGGAGGCTCATTAGGGAGCTAGGGTATAAATGGTTAGTCAAAATGGAACAAGGTAAGGAAGGGAACAGGTCGGCCAGGAGTAAGCTGCAGAAGGGGAAGCAGGCATCATCCTGAAGTTTTGGCACCTCAAATTGTTCATCCTTTGGTGGTGATGCCATGCAAGAGTCTGAAAGTCCCCAGGAGGTGCTGACTCTCACTGTCACTCCAGCAGTGGGAGGCCACCCAAGACCACACACTCTGTCCTGGTTGGGTGGTGCCCTTTAGAGTGACAGAGATGATCTGAGGCAGCTGAAAGAGGCGCAGGCACTGGCAGGTTATTTTCTCAGCTCCCATCTTGGAGATCTATCTGATTCCCAGGTGGACTACTTGGGACTAAGCAGGTGAGAACCAGAAACCATCATGGGGCCTGCACGGTGGCCACTAGAGGGCGCATGACATAGGAGCCTGCATCCTAGTCTCTCTGTAGCCTACCCAACTCAGAGAGATGATGACAAGCCCTGAGCCTGTGGAGGGGCTCCCCTCACTTCAGAGTCTGCCCTCCAATTGCCCATCACCGTCTCTGAATCCGGGTCTGGAGGAAGAGGTGGCCGGTTGGCTGGGTCTTGCAGGGGTGTGGGAATCTCTGGGTCACTTTGGGGTACGATCCCCAAAGCTCTGTGCAAGGCATGCCAGAAGCTTTGTAATCCTCAGGAGGGAAGGGACGGTGGGCTTGGTCTGGTGGCTCTTCCTAAGTCTCCATATGTGTCACATTAGCCCAGTCAGGGAAATGATCCAACTCAAATAGGGCCCGTCCCCAGGTGTTGACCGCCAAAAACACACACAAGATTCCAATCAAGTTCATCATTAGTCCTGTTTTCACCTGGAAGAAAATAAAAACAGGGTCAGAGTCAGTCCCTTCAGGTCTGCCTGTGGTCAGGACAGAGCGAACGAGACACTGGGAACCAGTCCTTTTGGAGAGGTGTTTGCTAGGCCTCGACGTCCCTGAGTCATGGTCTGAGCTCCCCCCTGCCCCAGACAAAGCAACATCATGTCCACTAAGTGTCATCAAATGCTCACAGTGTCCTTGGGAGGGATGCCAAGACAGATAGATGGGTTCTCTATGTCCAAGTGGGCATTGGAAAATGGCCTCAGGGAGGTGACATGAGGCAACAGCCACTAAGGGAGAGTGTGGCAGAGCCTGGGGTGTGACTCTAGGTTCAGTGGTCACCCCAGTGCCTTAACTGCCCCACAAATGCTGGCTTCCCTGTGGCCCTCCTCTAGCTCTTTCTAATGCTGTCTCTGTGTTCTTTCCTACCATTGCTTGAATGTCCTGTTGTAGACTTTTTACAGGAGACTGGAACCAGGTTTGCAATCCATGGTTTCAGAGATCGACCTTCTTTGTAAAAAATGCTCCATGAAGTCCCAAAGATACCCAATGGAGGCTCCACATTAACTAACAACTGACTGGTCCCACACAAGGACCTTTGCTTCTGATTTCCTTGGTTCACCTACTTGCCCATCCCTCATCCAGAGTTGTGCAAAGCTGCCTTTCCCCCATCAGAGGCGATGAGAGTTCTTCCTGTGACAAGAGTTTGCTTCCAATCCGTAGTCTCTCATTCCCCCTACCCCTCACTTCTTCTACCTCTTCAGACACCTCTACAAGTCTCTATCATTGCATTCCCCCCAATATAAGCCTTGCACCTCCCCAACTTTCCCCAGGGTTCTTGCTGGCCTGTGAAGTCCATCCTTGGCCATGTGAGTCCCCCACCTCTTCCAAGCGCTTTGCCAGGGCCCCCTGGTGCCTACAAAGGCTTCTCTCAGTGGGAGATTCTATAATCCAACTTGGGGAGAGAACAGCCTATGAAGTTTGAGATCATTTCAAAAAAGAAAAGCTGTATTATAAACACCAATGACAACTATAGATTGGGACATTCGGTGGTATTTCCAAATCACATACCATCCTTTGGAAATTCACATGCCATTCATCATATATACCAATAGCATCATAAAAGTAAACAGAAGCGGCTGTGTTACCATGTCAGAAACCTTGAGGTGTCCATAGGCAAACACGATGGCATTAGGCGGGGTGGCCACGGGCAACATGAAGGCAAACGACGCACTCAGGGTGCAGGGGAGCATGACGTACAGTGGGTGGAGGCCGATGGAACGAGACTGGGGAGAAACAGCACAGAAGCTCACAGCACAGAACATAAAAGCTCCTGGGCCCTCATTCTAAAAAAGCATTCCCTGCAGGCACCGGGTAAGTTCCAACTTCCAAGCCTTTGTCTTGCTGGTTGCTCTGGGTTTTGCCACTTCCTTGGCCAATGACACTATTGAACACTGGAGGCTGAGCTCAAAGGTCCCCCACCCCCCAGAAGTCTGTCTGAGTCTCCACAATTCATTCACCATTTATGCCTTTCACCTCTGCTATGTGCCAGAGACCATGCTGGACCTCTGGATTGCACTGAATCTCACAATGCCATGTGGACATCTCTTTCTGTCCTGTCACAGACTGAAAGAACATACAAGGAAGGGACCGGGTCTCCTCATCTATGGATGTATGTGTTTTTATACACAGTTGTGATCATTTTATGTCTGCAATTTGCTATTCACTTCTTTCATTCTACATTTTAAAATTCAGCTACTCTAAAAGCACAGGAGCAGGCACTCATTAGGTATCTGATGAAGAATGAATGATATAATTATAATATCGGTTAAAATGAACCTTTATCATGCATGTGAGGGTAAATACATAGGCAAAGATGTTCACTGCAACATTGTAACAGCAAAACATAGAAAACAGACTCCATGGCCATCAGTAGCAAGATGATCAAATAAAATACAGTATATACAAAAGATGAAATAACATGCAGATGTAAAGATGGTTTCATGTGCTAATATGGAAAGATATCCAAGACCTATAGTTAGATTCAAAAGAAAAAAAATTAAAGTCTATAACATGTCCATACAATGATCCCATTTCTTTGAAAAGAGTGTGTATTCCTGGTGCAGTGATGCACACCTTTTATCACAGCAACCTTGAGAGGCTGAGGCAGGAGGATCTCAAGTTCAAAGCCAACCTCAGCCACTTAGTGAGACCCTATCTCAAAATAAAATTTTTTTAAAAAATTTTTTTAAAGGGCTGGAAATGTGGCTTAGTAGTTAAGGTCCCCTGGATTCAATACCTGGTACTCCTACCCTCCCCCCAAAAAGATGAAAAGAGTGTCTGTATGTTTGTATGTGTGTAATATACATATGTATAATTTATTCAGAAAAATGTCTAAGAAATTAAGACACCTTGTCTCTTAGGAAAGAGTCTAGAAGATTAGAGTCTGTATACTTTTCTATATCAATTTTGCAATTTTTAGCCCCATGTATATTTTACATTTCAACTTGAAACAATCAAAGCATAATCATGTTCCCAGTTTATTAAATAACCTTCAAAACTGATTGTTAGTGGCTTGATAATATTACATGATACAAACATTTGGTCATTTATTTCACCAACCCCTGATTATTATGAATATATCTTATAAAAAACATTTCAGTGCCACATATTGTAATAATGATGTACTTACAGGCAACTCTGATTATTTTCCTAGGACCTAGTCCCAGATGGGAAATTGCCCAGACAAAGGGTCTGAGCAGGATTAAGGTCACAGCTCCTGTTGGTTAACAGTCCTCTGAAAAGGCTGTGTACCCTTTGAGAATTGCTGAGAGGTCCCAGATAGGGCCAGGCTGTGTCCTCGTCCCCCTCTACATCTTTATTTCCCTTGGCTTTGTGTAGCACGCGGTGTCTGCAGCCCTCATTCCTCGATAACACAGCTGGATGACCACCACCTTTCCCTTTCCCACATGGGCGCCCAGGCAGAGGCATAAGGGGCCTTAGAGGTAGCTCTGGGACACCTAATTCAGGGTTTCTGGTTCTAGACAAGCTTGTTTCCAAAGAGCTCAGCCACCCTCCTTGGGTTAAGGCCTGCATTTGTGTGGCTAGGGCCATTGGTGCTCACAGCGAGGGCTGGAGATGTCAAAGCCAAGGCCTTTCTTGGGGAAAGGAGGCACCCCCAACACACGCCCATCAGAAAAAGACTCTGCACCACACCATCTCCCTCCTTCTCCACCTCTTCCTCCTTGGCATCTGCTTGGCAGCCTGCTTAGGGGGAGAAGAGAGGCCACCTTGCTATTTTTAACACTTTCATCTTCACTTGGAATGGAAGGAAAAAACCACTTAGGTTTGCTTTTTTATGCACATGGACGCCCAGGCAGCTGGATGGAAATTTACCAACTTCAATGGTCTGTTTGGGCCTTTTGTGAGTCTGTCTCCTGGCTCCAGAATAACTACAGCATTTCCTACGCTCCTTCTGCAGTCTACAGAGGCTTTTCATAGCCCCATCTGACAGACACCCAGCACAACTCTAGGAGGAAAGATCTTAAGGGATGTGTTGGGGGAACTCAGGTTTTTTGGCTCCAAGCCCAGGGCTCTTCCCATACCACCCCGAAGGCAGTACTGCTTTGCAATGAAGGACAAAAGAAATGTGAGAAATGATGACAACTGACTTTTCTATTAATTCTGTTTTCATCTCAATTCCAGTTCAAAATCATGCTTGCCCATGAACAGAATGCTCCAGCTGGCCCTCAGGAGGCCCTTTTCCACTACCAAAGACCTCTATGGCTCAGCTCACATGGACCTCTCATCCCTGAGCTCTCTAAGCAAAGCTGTGGGAAGTCCTCAGTCCTGCCATACCATACCCTTCAGAGGCTGCTTAGAATGTTCTCTCCTTCCTACCCATCCCTAAGCCCTTCCTTCTCTAAGGCCTCTTTCTGAGGAGTCCCAGTCAATGATATTCCCAGGGGTGCTCTGCAGTCCTCCTGCGCACCTTCGTGACATACTCAGCAACCACATCCTGGCCCCGCCTCCTGGGCACAAGTCCTGTCTCCCCAACTCGAAAAACAATCCAGTGAGATTTATAAAGTAAAGTTTGATGCTGGGTGCAGTGTGACACTCCCATGACTCCAGCTACTCAGCAAGCTGAGACAGGAGAATTGCAAGTTTGAGATCAACCTCGGCAAGAAAGCAAGTCCCTATTTTAAAATACAAAAAAAAAAAAAGGACTGGCATGTGCAAGGCCTAGGTTCAACTCCCAGCATTCTGAAAGA